GACTTACAAAAAAGCAGCTATTGATAAATGGGTACAAGATAAGTCTTTAAGAGTGGTGGAAAAATGCATCGCGACTAACACAGACTAAAAAGTTAATAAAGGAACATTCAGTCAAATTCACAGTAGACTTACTAATCCAGAATCAAAGGATTGTTAGGGTAATAGTGGGGCTGTTGACTGGACATTGTAGGCTCAATAAGCATTTGAAAGTTGAAAGTATGGAGTTGACGGACAAGGATACTTATCGGTTCTGTCTAGAAAAATAGAAAATCGCTCTATGCGTCTTGTGTCAATGTGAGAGCCTCACAAAACAACGGAGAGGAAATCTAGAACTCGGAGAAGAAAAATCAGAAGCATCAGTCCCCTTTTAAAGCTATGGAACCTTATTAAGGGCTGGATAAGGAACTTTAAGCGACAAAGCATAAAAGATCTGTAAAAGTCTTTTATTTATAAAAACAAACAGGATATTATTATCATTATCTAATATTTATTGAATATCGTACAAATAAGGAAAATAAATTTGGGGTTTAGAATATATATCTACAAAATTATTTTCAATTTACTATTAGATTATTATTATTATTGACAGAAAATTATTATTTACATACAGAAAAGAAAAAGATAAGGTCCCACCGAGATTTGAACTCGGATCGCTGGATTCAGAGTCCAGAATGCTAACCATTACACCATAGGACCTTGACATCTCATCCAGAAAATTTAGAGTTTATTAACTTCTAGAATAATTTGTTATTTATTTTTTAAAGAGATACAAATAAATACTTAAACTTGCAAATATTTAATAACAACCAAAAACAAGTTATCTAACTGCAATATAAACTTATCCAGAAATTCTGTAAAACAGACGAAACATTAACAGCTGTCAAAATATGACCATTTGTGAATTGCGCAACAAAGTGATTTTATCCAGATTTTCTTTCTCTCTCTGCAAACTTAAACCATGGTTGCCAAAGTTTTTTATTGTCACACAGAGTACGAGAAGCCTGAAATATTCGAAATATTATATTTGTCGATGGCATATGGCATCCGCATCCTAACCTTTTGATACCTTCACACAACGGCTTCTAATTTGAAAGCATATCCGTTAATAAAATATGTTTCCTGTTTTTATTAAAAAATTATCTATCTGTTCTGTAATATTTTTAAAAAAATAAGTCTTGATAGGTACGAACAAAATCTGAAAATAACTGGCAACAAACAAGACTTCCTGTTCAAATTAGTCCTAGCCATAGGCGTCGGCTATCAAAGTCAAGAATATTTAAATTTATTAATATTTATAATTAAGGAACAATGTCAATAGAGGAATAACTACACAATAAAAGACTAGAAGTTAAATGAATAAAAATCTTGGTGCCGCTTTGTTCAGTTATCTAAGGATTTGCATTGACCCAATATTAAACTGTCGTTTTTTTTGAAATTTGATTTTATTAGACAATTTGTTTAGGTTTTTAAAAGAATCTTCATCTTCTTGAGACTTCTTCATCTTTCTTTGGAATGTAGAAAATAATTTTGTTCGATACTAATACTAACAGTTTATTTTAGTGTTGTTTTAATATTTTTATTAATTATTATTAATTTAATATTTCGTCTTAATTTGACAGGTCTATCAGAAATAAATACCGTATGATTTGTTAGTACATTAGTAGGTGGCATTAGGAGCAAATATAATCATTTATTGAATTATTTTAATATAACATAATTTGTTTAAAATATAAACAATAAAATTACTTGGAGAACTTTTTGTCTCAAGTTGGTCATTCAGAATCATATCTATGTTTTTTAATTTGAAATTCGTCATTAAAAGAATAATTATGATCTACTAGAATGTGAAGTGCGTATGTAGAATCTGTTTCCTATTATTGAAAGCTCTTTCATGTTCTGCTGTACGTATGTTAAAAAGTTCTACAGTTTGACCGATGTAAGTTTTTGGGCAGTCGCCACATTTAGGTTTGTATACACCACCGTGTAAGTGCTTTTTATTTTGGCTCTTGTTGTTTATACTATATTTGTCTAAGTTGTTGTTTATTCGAAAAGCTGGTGTTATTCCTTTCTTTTTTGTATGTTTGGCTATTTTTGTTACTATTTTGCCTGTATATGTAATCGAGCAGAAGGTATTGGGTTTTTTCTCTGGTGGTGGAAATACTAATTTTAGGGCTTTCTTGTGTAGTTTTTTATTTAAAATTGTATTAATCGTTTGTTGGTTGTACCCATTGTTTACTGCTATTTGCTTAATGATATTTATTTCTGTCTCAAAGTTTTATTTTGACATCGGAATTTCTATTAATCTAAGTAACATGTGACGATAGGCTCCCAGATGGGCTTGGTGGAGATACGTAGACGAAGTACTGGTATGTTTTACAGGAACTAACAGAAAACTTAACCAATTTTTATCGTATATTACTTCACGCCATAGTCATATTGAATTTACAATAGAAACAAAACAAAATCAATCCATTAATTTTTTAGATTTAAAAATCATCAGACTTAAAAATAAACATAGGTTCTCCGTATTTAATAAACCTACCCATACTGACACGACTATACACAATTCATCATCCCATCCTACACAACATAAGCATAATAAAAAGCACTCACACAGTGGTGTAAAGTAACTTACATGTGGCTACTGCCCAAAAACTTACATCGGTCAGACTGATAGCTAGTAGAACTTTTAACAAACGTATAGCAGAACATAAAACGTCTTTTAATAATAGGAAAACAGATTATACATATGCACTTCACCCTCTAGATCATTATCATTCTTTTAATGACGAATTTCACATTCTTTATATTCAAAATAAAGGTCTTCAGATATCTTTATTAAGATCTTTGAAAATTAATAAATTGAAAAACACAGACATGATTCTGAATGACCAACTAGAAACAAACAGTTCTCACCTCCTCAACCAACATATTTCGTTAAAGACTATAAATTGTTAACACATCCAAAAACAGATCACTTGAGAAAGGCACTCTGCCGAAACAGCTGTAGTGATAAAACTAGTATTTTATAATAAATTTTCCGGAAGTTTTGAAAACAAAGTTTTCAGTGTTCTATTGTTATAATATTTAAATTTTTAAAATACGAAAACATAGTATGAAGCTTGTACCATGTCGCCTACTGTACTATCTTTTTTTTTTTAAATTTTTATCACAAATAATCGAGTTCAAATTAAACATGCTAAGTTAACTATGCGTAATCATCATTCAGAAAAATTCAATATTAAATAATGTTTTAATTGATTCATGCATATGATATGGAGGACGTAATAATAGAATACATTAAAATTTATGTAAAAAACCCAAAGGAAATGTAAAAACCCATTTATTTATTGCAGTTTATACACTTACCAAAAGTTACTGCATATTTAGCGCATATATGCTTATCACATTCGAAACACACCTTTCGTGTTTTCCTTCTACTCTTGAATGTTTGTTATCTTGAATATGAATTATGACTGCAACCAATGACTTTCTTTCTTCCTGGTGTATCTCTCCTAATCCTCAATCATTGGCTTTGCAAGTTTTTTGCTCAGTTGACATATAAGCAACAGTCGCTGTTTGGTGTTTTTTGAACAACATATTATTCTTATCCTAATAAATGAGGTATGAAGCGAGTAAGGCAGCATCTATTATTTTAAAAAACATAACTATTGGCCATATCACAATGCGACATTTGTGTAGCATATGTATAGGTAGTAGTCATTTGGTCCATAGTGTGGACGCCACCTGTATATCAATTATGTGGTGATATGAGGCTTCTTTTAACATTTCAGTCAGAATGTATCGTTGATAATAGTATAGCTGTTTTAATTTTCTTTGGTACGTAGGAGCACATCCATACTTTTTCATCGAATGCAAACCATCGAGCAAAAAGACAATAGAGGGAATGTAAAGGTAGTGGGGGCAAACATATTGTTAGACAGGAAGTGCGATCTTTAGAGGCCACTTTAAACAAGGAAAGAGAGTCTCTCTCCTTGTTTGACATCAAATTTAGTTGGGTTATGTTATTGTTTATCCCAAATGTCACATGAAATCTTACTTATATTGAAGTTTTTTAACAATTGTGTCGCATTTTAGACACTTATCATTAATAATTAATTAAAACTTTCTCGTCTAAGACACATTCTGAAAAATATTATATAGCTACTGTTGATAAGTGTCGGAAAATTTAAATTTCGCGCATTCGCATTTCCGGATATGTCCGCCATCAGAGGCCACTTTTTTGGTCTCCTTTTCATAAGGATTAGATTCCCTCTTTTGTCTTATTGCTCGATGATGCAAACACAGTAGAGTATATCTACTTCCTCGATTTATTCGGAGCCATCACACTTGCAATATAAGGTTTATTTTTCTTCAGAGTGCCTGGAAGTAGATGCCTGTCTGGCATACTTAGTAACAGTACGTTACCTGTGTCAACTTTGAAAATTATGTTTACTCTTTATACGAAATATAGCAAGCCAATTAATTTACTTACTGCTTCCGACACCAATTTTTAATGTTTATTTGTTTAGATACACGTTAAGGAAAGACCCGGGTATGTAATAACATTGGTAAAGTTGGGTATGCATACAAGGGCTTAAGTGCGTATCCTTATACTATTTACGTAAATATTATACCTACTTAATACCAATTAACGAATTAAAAATATGCCTACAATATTAAAACAAAAAGATACTTACGAATGAAAAACCTTCAAGTAAATCAGCAATAAATCATTGAATGTTGATATTTTCTGGAAACAACAGTAGGGTAACGATTATAATGATATTTTAAGTAAACTATTACCTTGAAAATAATTTAACTGTTCTTTCTCATTCAATTCAATATTACAAAAAAATACGAATATCACTTTACTATATTATAATAAATATATTCTCCGCCACTGGGACATATCCCTACTTCTTCAAGCTGTCTGACGTCATTAGGAATAAAATTGATTGTAAAAATATCCAGATTTTATCCTCTCTCTCTGCTTAAAGATCGAAATTAGGTTATGTATGTCATGTATGTTTACCTTGTTCAAATTTAGACATTTTAAAAGCCTTGCCTTGATCTCCAACAATTGATGAGTATTGTTCGTATATTCTTCAAAATATGGATACGATATTCTGTAAACGAGAAACCAGAAAGTTGTAATTAACATTCCTTTATTTAATCAACATTGTAACTTCTTTGTAATTGAACTTTTTACTCTACAATGCCAAAATTTTTTTCCGATTCTACAATCTTTAATTACACTTGGGACCAAGTTGCACAAGGCTTTTGGAAAAGATATCCCAATCCTAATAGGTATTTATTTACATTTAAAATTAGAATTAATGTTCATTATTATTCACCTAATCGCTATGAGGTCAAAGTCTTTTGTGATGTGAAAAGTGGAATCTACATACTTTTATTTATATTTTTTCCTTATCTGTATTTATATTTTTAGTAAACATGTGCTGACTGAAGATACAGTTGAAAGAGAAGTACGGTCTGGAAAGTTGTTTTCCAAAAGGCTTTTAACAAAGACTAATAGCATTCCAAAATGGGCTGAAAGGTTTATGAGCTCAAGACATGTAAATATAATTGAAGAAAGCATTGTTGATCCAAAAAATAAAGTTCTTACTACATACACAAGAAATTTAGGGTATGTTAAAGTGATGGTGAGTAACCAGACAGATTTATATTTCCTATAGGTATAAACAATGATTTTTAAAATTTTTAATCATTCATATCAATCATGGTAGATTGCCATAGGGTTTATAATCTTGTATATATTGCTATAATGCAATATCAGTGTTTGTCATATTCTTACAAAACTAAAAACACTAGAATGTCATGGGTGTACCTAATAATACCACCTCGAGACTGTATAAACACTCTACAAATCTCCTTTTTCATACTTTACTATAACCAGTTGATTCCAAATATATCTGACTTCATAGCTTAGCAACAAACCTGTTATACTTTTTAGGGTACAAACATAAAGAGTAACTATTCATGAATTTTTTTTAGTTTTATAGTTTTTTTCCATTGGTGAAAATGATAGAGGTATGTGAGCTATGAATTTGAATTAAGTTTTGCTTTAAACCTGAAAAAATAATAGTCCAATGGAGATAAATGTATGAAAAGACACTCTTCAGTTCACACCTGAAAATATTGAAAGTGTGTGTTTTCCAATTAAAGAAGATTGCCACTTAACGGAGCAGAAACTAGAAAACAATATTGAATTTCTGAAAACTGTTTCTAGAATTCTGTCTGAGGATTTGTGTTATGATAATTTCACTCGAAAATTTCTATCAGAAGAACAGAATGAGATTCATTTAGAAATTGCTCAGGACAACTTGAAAATGGTTACTAATGATGAAAATATACTCTAAAATATCATTAGCAGTGATAAGTTATATAAGGTTATGATCTAGAAACAAAATAATAGTCTTCAGAATCAGATATATCATCTGAGAACCCATATTGGTAATTCTTACCTTCCACAAATTGCCAGCAACAGCGTTAGATAAAGCAAAAAGTTAAACTATTCAAGTTTCTCTACAGTCCCTACATAGTACTGTGTGACTATTTTTTATGTTTCCAGAATTGAAAATACTACTTAAAGGACAACATAGAGATGAATTGGAGAACTGCTAAAGCAACTTAAAGATCCAATGGGAGAGTATTGTTAAATTGAATTGTGATTATTTTGATACCAAAGGCTAGATGATGACTAATAAAGCTATGTCATGAACTAAGATCAGATACTGTTGGGAACAACCTTGTATATATGAGTAATAAAATATTGTATCAATTTATTTATCAATCTAATCATACCAGCTAAATCCTTATCGTAGGTTTATGGACCAGTGTAAAAACTATGATTTATAACTTTGATATAAGTAAAACTAATACATATGTATATATTTAAAATTCTGCGAACAATTTTCTTCTTCACATAGATAACACTTCAAAGTATTAGCCAATAGCTTTGTTTGAAGCAGATTTTAAATCTAATATAACAAGAAATTGTTTAACAAGCAGGTACAAAGTATGCTGACTTACAAAACATGTTTTAAAGCTTTCTGTAAATAGATAGCAATAGTAAGCTTAATTAATACAGGGTGTTTCAAAAAGGTATTCACGCATTCAGGGGATAAAAATAAATTGATTGAATCCAACTTACCTTAGTACAAAAGTGTACACAAAAAAAAGTAACTGCCCTTGAAGTTAAAAAATAAATTTTTTTTTTGCATTATTTCTAAACTACTTGACATTTTTTAATCAACAACGACACGTTACTTTCTTGTTCTGAAAGCATTTTTCATACAAAAGAAAAAACAAAATCTAAGCGCACAGAAAAAAATTAAGGGGTGTGTGCAGCCCTAAATCCCCCCAAACTTTTGAGTACGTGCAAATCAAATGAATTTTGTGGGATAATTAGTTTAACACATTATTTTTAAAACTTCTTTGTCTCTTATCAGTTTTTTCAAAAAAACAGTTTTTATTGAGTTACAGTCCTTTTCATTAATCTTTAAAAAATTATGTGCAACTAAATAAATAGCTGAAATGAATTAACAAGTACAAAAAATGTCTATAACCTCTATAAATATGATATTACAATAAATGTTCAAAATTACCCATATTTTCTTCAATACACATTGGGTATCATTTTAGTAAGGAAAACCAAATGCGCTGTAAAATCATATTTTTCTAAAAAAATTGATTTTCAGCTTCAATTATTCTGACCCTCAAGTTATTGTTGTTAGTCCTCTATTATTACAGAATACACTAACTCTTTCATAAACCCCCAAAAGCAACAGTCCATGCAGTTAAGACCTGGACTTCCGGGTGGCCAAGTACTAGGTGCGTCACGACCCCTTCCAATCCACTGACCAGGATACTGCCTGCAAGGGTATTCCCAGATTTCATTACTGTAATGCAGTGGAGCGAGCGTTATCTTGTAGAAAATAAATCGTTTGCCAAGAACTGCAAATAATTATTACCATTTAAATTGTTGGGAACAAATACTGGACCTATTAGATTGTTCCACAATTCCTGCCCAAACATTAACTTTGAAAGACCTTTGGTGATGAGTCGTTTTTTTGGTGAGGATTTTCGTCAGCCCAAATGTGCTTGTTATAATGGTTTGTTATTTCATTTCTACTGAAGGCAGCCTCGTCTGTAAACAAAATATTTCTAATAAAATTAACATTTCGAGTGTTTTTAATTAACAACCAATCGCAAAATCCAATCCTTTTAGGAGAATCTTCAACCAATAACTCTTGAAACCACTGTTAAGCAGCTGATCCTTTAAATGCCTTCAAACCATTAGGCGAGGAACATTTAGTTGGGTAGCTATTACCCTTGTACTTGTTCCAGACACTTCTTCAATGATTTCTAAAATGTCTTCATCAGATACATCCATTATTGGACGACCACTATTGCCAGCAACTTGCGGTTGGAATGTACCTGTTTCCCGTAAACGACGATCAATGGTTAGAAATAATCGTCTATGGGGTGTATTTCGATTTGGGGTATTTTCCTGCATAACGCCTTGCAGCTGTTGCACTATTTCCTTGACATTCACTTACGATATTCCCAATAGTTTATTGAAATCCTAATTTAATCTGATCCAACTTACCCAAAGTTAAATACATATCTGTGGTTTCCTGAAATGTGTAGGCCATTGTAATATCAAAATTTTTAATATTAATCTTATTCACACAATAAATGATAGCTTCAAATTATTGACTATTATTGATGAAACTGTAATTATTGTATCCATAGAAACTAATTGTAATTTTATGGCCAACTAGGAAAAAACTAGTTTTTCGAAAAAGTGATGAGGCAAAAAAGTTTTAAAAATAATGTGTTAAACTAATGATGCCACAAAATTCATTTGATTTGAACCTACTTAAAAAGTTTGGGGGGATTTAGGGCTGCACACCCCCCTTAAAATTTTTCTGTATGCTTAGATTTTGTTTTTTCTTTTATATAAAAAATGCTTTCAGAACAAGAAAGTAACATGTCTATTTTTATTACAAAATATCAAGTAGTTTAGGAGGAAAAACAATTTTTATTTTGTAACTTCAAAAGGCTGTAACTTTTTTTTGTGTACACTTTTGTACTAAGGTAAGTTGGATTCAATCAATTTATTTTTGTCCCCGAAATGCGTGATTTAATTTATGACATACCTTTTTGAAACACCCTGTATATGAGGTAATTGTATTTAACTGAATAACCTCAGAATATGCATTAGTATAATATAATGTGGATCTTCAATAGGCACTATTTATTATTCACTAATATGAGAAAGCATTTTATCTTAAAATACTTATTGCATATTTCATAGTAGAAATGCATAAAATTAAATAAATTTTCAATGATATAAATGACACAAAAAATTATTTTACTCTGTAAGTATGCTTTAATGTTTCTACAATTTGAACAACTAACCAAGAGTGAAATATTGTTTGGTTCAATGAATTTATTATTTTTTACATGGTGTCATAATGTTATGGTATTACATGATTATGTAAATACACTTTATTGTTTTTTAAGATGTGGTAAACTTATATTTTTAGCAATTCATGACCCCATGTCATATATTTTTTGCATTTGTGGTATTGTTAGGTAGAATAAATGTTGCAAGTAGTGAAATATTGCTATATTATATATTCTATAACTAAAATTATAGTCAATAAAACATTACCAACTGTCAACTGATTGTTGTATAATGTAATGGTAATAATAATGTTAGTAAAGTACAGAATTAGTTCTTGCACATTGTAATAGTAGAGCACCAATTGTTCACAATTAGTTCAAAAACTATAAAAATAAAATGTTGGTGTATGCACCATATGAATTCCACTCATAACCATATGTTTACTTAATATAGGTATTGTGTTATCATGAGTTATCATAAGTTGGTCATGTTTCTTGATTTCACTCGATCTTTTGTCATTCTTGCACATTCTGAAAGTGGTACGCACAAAGAAAAATATTTTTTTTGCAGGAGAAGAAACTTGGCTTTAGCATAAAAGTGATTACGTAACCTTTACATAAGTGCGTGGAACCTTGGAGATGCTACTGCATGTTTAAATACTTGTCAATTTTAAAATAAATATTTGTGTTAAATTTCGCTTCACACGTACTTTGACTGCTTCTTGGATCTTGTTTGAGTCCTTGTATGAACGTTTATAAGTGCAGCTTAGAAATAAATAAGGTTTTCTTCAAGCAATGTCTCCTGGGTGTTCGTGACTGGCGCCTCTACAGTGCCATGTGACCACCTGCATAGTGGTTTAAAAATTTATTGTGGGTATTGCTTAGTCTCTGTTTAAAAGGGCAAGCGTTTAGTTGTGCAGTTTTATTAAAGAAATATGAGTTCTATACTGAGCAAAAGTAGTGTGTGGGATAGAAAACATCCACTTACAAAGAGTGAATTAATAAGACTTTTGTATGAAAGTGACTCTGATTACTCTGACATAGACAATGAGCAAGAGTATGACCATGATTGTTTTATTGAGTATCATATTTATCAGATGCTTTCCCTACCACTTCCTCTCCTACTCGTATCACAACTTTGCTGTTGGCTTCCCACCACTTGCTTTCCTTTTCGATATCCACTATCACCGGTCCACGTTGACTAGCTACACACGTACCCTTTTTTTATCACTTTAGAGTTGGTAACCTCTTTTAGCAGGCTCTTTTCGGAGGTTAGAATTAAAATGACAACAAGACTCATACAAAGAGTAGTTGCCGCAAGGGAACATCGTATTAAGTATCGTATAAACAATTAGCTTTTGATTTAAGCCCTTTAATATTTACTCAGTAAATTCATTTTTGCCCAAGTAGCTATTGTTCGAGGCGGTTCAGTTTATCTACTGCTTTTTTTAGTTTTCACGATGTTCTAAAATAAACCGATTAACAACATTGAATCATCTGTTTAAATTTTTATATTTCTCGTTTTAAAATAATGTCATATAAATACAATTATTATTTTTAAACATTTTAATTTAATATATCCGTCAGAAAATTTAACATATTTATTTTCTCAAAAAAAAAAAGACAAAGTACATGGTTACAACAGCAAATTTACTAAGATGTAAATTGGAGGTGAAAGGTCAGATAATAGAACAAGTTATGGAGTTTAAATATCATCATATTACCTAGCTACGGAAAGCTCGAAACTGAATTGGAAGATCAATTGTATAGAGCAAACAGAGCCGCAGGCGCAGTCTGCTTAAATGAAACAAATGGAGAAATAAAAATATCGGGAAAGAAACGAAAGCAGAATATACAAAACAGTCATCAGACCAATAATGATATACGCGACAGAAACAAGATCTGACACAGATATGATAAAAAGGATGTTAGAAAAACTAAAAAAAAATGATGGTAATACAATATGGAACAGAGCTAGAAGTATAGATATACAACGTAGATGCAAGGTTTAGAACATCAAGAACTGTGTAAGAAATAGAAGAGTAGAATGGAACGATCATATAAGCCGAACGACAACAAATAGAGTAGTAAAGACGGCAAGAGACGATTCCCCAATAGGAAGACGATCAGTAGCAAGACCACGAAAACGATGTAACGACAACTTACTGGAGGCACATTGAAAAATAGACATTCATGTCTATATAAAAAGAAGAAGAAGAAACATATTTCAAATCTTTCTATTTATATGTAGCTTTTAGAGAAAAATGAACGGTGAAAGATAATTTTTATATATAATATTTATTAATGTAGTTTTAATATATTTTTAGCCGTACTTTACGATGGGACTAGTAAATTAAAATATTCAAATTTAAAAATTTATTTATTAAAAAACTGTTTAATAAAAATTTATACCATTTTTTGAGATGGATCTACATATTCGTATTCAGCGATCAATTTAACATAAGATAGAATACTTTTCAATTATCTACCCTTCCATGCATACAGAAATGTACCCTGCTGCTGGACTAATAAAGAAAATTCATTTCCAAAGAATATCGACAAAAATGAGTTTAATTTGGTAACTCGGGTGTTCTGAGGTCGCTGAACACCAATATGATAACGACGTTAGTCCTCGAGCTACCTGGGCGGATTTTTTCTCCTGGAGTTTTGTTATTTTCGTTTAAAATCAGTCAAAAATCATTACGGGGGTTTTTGGTGTTGCTTAACACGAATATTTCGTTGATAAATGACCTCAGGATACTTCAAGCAACTTTATATATACACAAATTCAAGAAAAAAAATCCAAAATCTTATTTTTTAACTTTGGTGTTTTTAAGCAGTGGGTATATATTATGTAATCCCTTGTGGGTTCTAAATATTGTTGGCTAGAGCATTGAATGGAACGAATGAATGTAGGTATGGTTTTTTATCAAGCTACTGATTCTTGTGATACTGATGTTTACATTATATTTTTAATTTACCTCTATGTGAAGTACTATTTTGTTAACAAATGCAATAGGTCAATACATCATTAACAAATTCAAGTAGTCAAATACATTATCGTGGCTGAATGGATCAAGTATTCAAAGCCATTAATTAAATACAAAAAAAGCAGTGGGTAGTTGATATAAGAGAGTTATACTCCTGTAGCAGCTCCCGCCTTTAATTTCACTTATGCTCTTATACTTATTCTCTCACACACATTAGTATACAGGAATACACGTTAAATAGTTAACTTGTATTTTTTTCTTCGCTCTATTTCAAATTATTGTATTATGAAAATCAAATTTTTTATATGGAAATGTGTATGTAGAAAGAATGGCTTGGTGTCCAATTTGGCAAGTAAAAAAACAAAATAACATAAAATTCCAGGAGACGATGCCCAACTTGGACACTAGGTAGCTCCACGATCATCGTAGTTATCATATTCGTATTCAGCGACCTCGAAAACCCCTGAGTAATAACAGTAAACTGATTTAGAATGAAATTGACATACTCAAGGAGACGAGATCTACCCTGGGCACCAGGAAACACGGTACGCAAGGTGGGCGCCCACCATCGTTGTTACCATATTCATATTCAGCGACATCGAAAACCCCCGAGTAACGCGATTGAACTCATTCCTGTCAATATTTTCCGAGTTGCAAATTTTTTGCGAACATAAAAATTTGCATAGTGATTCATCTTGCTGCGGAAAATTGGTAGGCTTAGTGCTTCGTTGCCTGTCCCAAAAATTAAACTTAATGCAACATGTGACAATGTATTTCGTCTATGGCTTATTGTTTAAGCATTTGGTATGTTGAAATTGTTATTTCAATATGGAGGGGGATGTTTGGGACTTTTTTATGTTGCATTTTATTTTTTAGGTCACCACCACTTTTTACACAACGTGATAACGTTGAACTGATTTCCATCCGGGTGTGAAGGGTTTGAAGAGAGATGACGTTTAAAATTTATATAGAACAGACACCTTTTGTTTTTATTAAACGCACTTTTATTTATAACTTATTTTATATTATAATATGTTATATTACTTAATAAATTTGAGTAACATTAAAGTAATAGTCGTATAATTGGCAAAATAAAACCCCTAAATGAAAGTGAATATTCAGATCGGGAACAGATCCTTCTGTAGTCTTATGTAGGCTCCATTTGTCATTAGTTCTTGATTTTTTTTCTGGTAATGAGCTTGGTTCAAGATAACGATTGCATTGTCCTTGTCATCATTTATATACTTGTTTATTGCCCTCTTACTTTAGTTTGGTCTTCTCTTGTTTTTGTAAATAGTTTTGTTTACCGAAAAAAAAACAATTGGATATACTGTCAACTTTTGTCTCGAATAGGTATTAGGTTAGATGCGAAAATAGATTTAGACGCAATTTATTGATTGTTTTGTATTATAATCAATTTACAAATACTATTTTTTACAGAGTGTAACAGAAAAAGTAGTGTATACCGAGAGTGAGGAACATCCTGGTAAAACAGTAGCTATGAGGTACGCCTGGATTGATTCACAAATTAAAGGATTTAGCAGAGCTATTTGTGCATTTGGCTATGAAAGATTTAAGAAGAATTGTCATAAAATGGTAAGTAACTTTGAATTAATGATTGGAACTTTTAGACAAATCGCAAAATATATTTTAAGCCACGGATAGACACACGTTACTTAGCTTTAATAAGGCATATTAACAACAACAGGTTGTTTTAGCAACCGTCAAGACAAAATCAACGTGTTTTGTTCAAATCTCTAATAATCAATATCTATCCAACTAAATTAACGGTCGAACAGTAAGACTACAAGTTTTGTTTGCTATGTATTTCAAATTTGAATTAAAACACTGCGAACAGTGTTGTAATTCAAATTAAGTATTACTAAAGTAAGCAACATAAAAACTTAACAAAGGTAATCTAAAATTATTTGAGAAAATATGCTAGTGGAAGTTACTATGTAAAAGATAAAGAAGTAAATAGGCATAAAAAGCCAATCTCAATACGCGTGGTTCCGTGCTAGATAAGCTTTACAACATTTTATTTGTAAATACAGGGCGTTTTATTGGAAACGGAAATATATAAATGTTAAGTGGTGAATATAGGTCATTAAGGTGATCCTAGAGATAAGACATTTACTGGCTCTTATTGGTTTTATAGCGGGTGTTTTATAGATTTTACTCATTTCTTTCTGAATCCATAACTTTAGAACCACCCTGTATATTTTTTTATATTTAGTACACATATGTTTCATTCAGAACCCAAACGATCCATTTACTTATCACAAGAAAAACCAAGTTCGGATTAACAAAAAAATATAAAGTAATTGTAGCCTAAAGAAGAGAGTACTTCTTGCATCTTTTTACTTTAACTATTTCCATCACAAAATCCACAAATAAAGATAATATCCGCATATTCTTCACTGCAAAAGTGACGAGACATTTTTATAGATCAGTACTAACAACGATGAAAATAAATTCGTGTATTGATCTAAATTATTTGACATAAATAAGGATCTTCTGAAATCATGGGTGTCTGGACTAAATCATGGATATGAATGTTGTATTCGTTGTATTACAGTATGAATATTCTTATAATATACAAGCTTGAGTTGATTAATCACAAGCAGCATGAGGGAAATGCTTAGAAATAATCCAAATTAATATTACATATACGTAACGAATACGTAAACAACTTACAACGAAGATACGCAGACGACATCGTCGTTATTGCGGACAGTGCTTAGGGTTTACAACGACTTTTGAATGTCATAACCAGAGAGGAAGATATAGGCGAGCGGTTTACACCTCAAAAGACGCTTAGAAACAGAATATACCGACTAAAATTCTTTTTGCATTTATAATGCACCAAACCTTTTTTATTCGATTCTATATATTGTTCCAAGATGAAATGTTTTTTTACAAGTGGGCCGGCAATTGTTATTAACAAATAACTTATACAAAAAAGCAATTTCACCGAATTGCTTCGGAATAAATTTTTTAGGTGTATCTCATCAAAGTAAACACTTTTTCTCTCTTGATAATTTTTCGAAAAATGCTTCCTTTTCGACTTATTTGCATTTTTTTGTTGAAAAAATGCCATAATTAGTGATTTTTGGGATAAATGAATTGCAATTCTATAAATAGCTTTATAATCTTTAAACCGTCGGGTACAAGTTAGAATATTTTGACAAAGATAATTTTTTTCTATCTTGCTAAAAACGTGGACCCAAATATTTCGAATATGCCTTTCGAGCAGTCTACCGCTAAGTGTGTACAGCGGTTCCGGCGATACAGGGGTGCGGCGCGTATAAATATTTGTTTAAATTTAAAAAATGAATTCAATACAAATATTACGTACAATTTATTAAGAAAAAATATATTTCTAATTATTTTTATATAGACATATTATAATTAAAACAATTAAAATTAATTTTTTACAATGCTATAATAATGTAATTTTTCTTTTAATATACGTGGTGACTATATTATTGAATGTTTTATTACAGTGAAATACATTAAGCAATATATAATTAATTTTCATTGAAAAATATAATAAAATAAAAATATAATATTAATTATACATCGTTTTCATTGTCAATAACCTCAACCGCTGTACACGCTTAGCGGGATACTCTCGAAAGGCATATTCGAAATATTTGGGTCCACGTTTTTAGCGAGATAGAAACCATTTATCCTTGTCAAAATATTCTAACTTGTACTCGACGGTTTAAAGATTATAAAGCTATTTGTAAAATTGCAATTCATTTAGTAGTTTTTTAGAAAAAAAATCCCAAAAATCACTAATTAAGGCATATTTTCAACAAAAAAAATGTAAATAACTCGAAAAGGAAGTAATCTCGAAAGTAATAGTAATTTCGAAAAATTATCAAGAGAGAAAAGTGTTTATTTGGATGAGATACACCTAAAAAAATTGATTCCGAAACAATTCGGTGAAATTTCTTTTTTGTATAAGTTATTTGTTAATAACAATTGCCGGCCCACTTGTATAAATTAAAAAAAAATACATTTCATCTTGGAAAAATATATAGAATCGAATAAAAAAGGTTTGGTGCATTAGAAATGCAAAACGAATTTTAGTCGGTTGATGCTCTGCTTATAGGGGTAAACCGCTCGCCTAATAGCTTGGGAACTAAATATAAACACAAATAAAACAAAAAGAATGGCTGTTACACGTGCACTTAATGTCGACATTAATATTCGGATCTATAACAAACATATAGAACCAGTACAAAGATTCCAGTACCTTGGTTGCTGGATAACAAACGATCTTGACCACGAGGTCGAAAGATGTGCTCGTATAGAATATGCTAGGTTCGCATTTCAACGAATGAAAAAAATTCTAATAAACTCTACGTTATCGTTGGATATCCGATACCAATTTGTAAAAACGTTTATTTATTCCATATTGCTATACGGAGTGTAAACATCTCTCGGACTCTCGGAATTACAAGTATGAGGCGTATAGAAGCCTTTGAAATGTGGGTTTTTCGAAGGATGCTGAAGATCTTATGGACAGAGCACGTGACCAACAACGAGGTGCTAAGACGAATGAGTACTGAGAGAGAACTCATAAATATTGTAAAAAACAGAAAAACGAGTTATCTAGAACATATTTACAGAAGAGAAAAATACAACTTCCGACGACTTATAATGAAAGGGAAAATGGAAGGAAGAAGAGGTCCAGGAAGAAGAAAATGCTCCTGGTTGAAGAATGTAAGAGACTGGACAGGTATGGACACACATTCGATACTAAGAACAGCTCAAGATAGAGGGCAATTTGCGGTAGTTATAGCCAATCTTCAGTAATGGAGAAGGCACCTTAAGAAGAAGAAGAAGATTACTGAAGTATTAAAAGCTGTTTTAAAAACTATTAAAAATTTGCGAACCGGAATTTATAAAATATACACTGGATTGGTCTACAGATACAAAACGAAAAACCAATGTAGGTAACAAATATTTAGTATTTTAAAATAAGCATTCATTCAATAAATTCAATAATTTATTATTAAAACCTCAGTTTTTAAAAATTTCAATATAATTTAAAAAGTGACGTAATTAAAGTATCTGCGCAAAAAATTGAAATACACCTTTAAACTTAGTTTTTGTGTTCTTTTCAAATATGCAAACGGATTTTAAAAATTTAATATACAGGGTGTTGTTTCAAGGTCATAATTATTATTACTTTATATTTTTTTGTTAATGCGGACCTGGTGATGAGTCGTTTGGGTTTAACACCCTGTAACTTGGGTTAAAAAACCGTTAGAGCTAATAAATGTGGTATATAGAACCGCCTCGGTGACATCTATCATAAATTTCAAATTGGAGAAAAATTGTTGAATATAGACTAATATTTGATGATACATTGTTTTCCGGACTTACAGGTCGGGGTCTGGAATTATTGTTTTCTGTTTTATCTGCATCTGTGGCGGGCATTATAAATTAGCAATGGGGCAAATGTTCTGTCTCTCTTCCTCTAACTCAGTGGGCTTTTCCCTTCACATCTTGTTTGAACTTCCTTCTGTACGATTTAAGTGTATCTAGTGTTTTTAGATTTCGATAGCTTCTCTGAACATCTATGGGTTTGATGTTCTCTTAAGCACTTGTTTCTTGAAATAAAAGTTGATGGTTGTATTCTGTGATGTGGTGTTCTGCAACAGCTAATATTCCGCACGGACCTTATGCGGTAGGTGCACCTATGCCCAATCAAACGATTATTTACACTATGTTTTCTTGTACACTGAACTATTATAAACTACGGCGAATCGGGTAAATTTCCCTAATGGAAATAGGTTGTGTTGGATCTTTGGCCGATCCTAGACTTTTTCTATCGGTTTTGTTGGTATGAAGATTGACGAAAATGAACAGACAACCTCCTATAAACCCGGAATACAATTTGTGAAAGTCTATACTCTTTGATAATATTGTTTAAACAGATCACATCAAATTCAAAATCAACGAAAATAATGATATACATGTTTATTTAAGGTGGGTGGTTTTAATTATGTCCTCTCCAACCTATATCCACAACAAAATGCACTGACTTCAAGTTATTCCACTGCTAAGGCAACGGCGAAACTGAAGGATGCAGCTAAAAATGCATCTGAACTGGCAAAATCCAAAGCTGCCCCAATCTATGCTTCTCTACATCCCAACCAATCGTAGAAGTAACTTAGAAACCGAAACATTTATTATATTATAATGTTAAATTATGTAAAATTACTGTAATTGTATCAAATAGAACAAATTAATGTCATTTTGTAAACAATGAATAGATTGGATGCTTAAAATGTAGACATTTTTGAAATATCATAGAAAATTATAAGCCAGTAGGTGTTATTGATTGGTATTCATTTCAAACATTCTCTTCTGTATTATTTTTATTAAGACTTTTGTTCATTATATAGTGGTAAGAGTATCACTACATCCTCTACAACATATCAATAAATATTTCTTTCTGATTGCGTCTTGTTTTTTTTTTCAATTTATGCACTTAATTATTTCTACATTAAATTTTAACAATGTCGCTAAAATAAGATTTGTTTTCTATTTTCAAACTTTTCCAAGTGAGCTCAAAGTGCGAGTATCAACATTTTTCATTAAACTAAATTACTTTATTTTATCGGTAAGATAACCAAGCGGACCAGGCAAACGAATCGCATTCATTTCACTGTGAATGATGATCTACTGGTTGCTGGTTCTGACCCGGGTCAGAAAACAAAAAGGCTATCGTAGTAAGTAGTTCGAAATGGATCTGCTACTTTGACTAGAGTACGCTGGTATTGGGACCGTGCAAGTTCGGAACAGCGACACCTGGTGTCGTAAATCAGCAAAATTTACTGCGCTTTCATGTTAGTTCGAGGTTACCGGATAACTGTCAAGGACGTAGCCCAAAAAAAGAATAAGAAGAAAAAGTAAGATTGAGGTTAGGTCGGTATGTTATTAAAAGGTTAACGTTTTGTATGTAGTGTAAATACAAATAAATATATTATTAAATTACAGCATTACTGTTAATATGGATGCAATAATAAAAACTGGATTTGAGAAAGTAAATCACCAAATAACTTTTCAACCAAGCACTGAGTCAAATGGAAAAGCTTTAGTAGTGGCAAATGTCAAAAAAGAATGGAAGAATTAAGAAAAATAAATTACCATAAATAATGCTAATGCATAAATTAGCAGGTTAAGCCCATGATATCATCATATTGGTTTGAACAATTAATTCTTTCCCTGTAAACTTTTGGACAGCGAATATATCTTAATGCATCTTCAGAAAAACTTGAACTTGATTAACTTTTTGGGTTAAAATGAACTCTAAGTGAGTGTTATGAAACTAAAATTTACACTTAAAAGTGAACTTTTATTTATTTCAAACTGACTTTAAAATCGGGCGCAAGAATAATGCATAATTTAGGTTATGTTACTTATGCTTTTTTATGATATAAATCCACTTTTCTCTTTGTAGTAATTTGTGCTTCGAAGTTGGAAACGAATAACACTTGAATTGACAATTTTTTGTTGTATTTTTACAATTTATAACACAGCATTTCCTAAATCCATTTTCTTCAGTGACAGAAGGTGTAAATAAACAAACGAATATGAAATGTGACAATTGACAATATGAATTTATAAAATCTATGAAATTTGCAGTAAAAAATGCAAGATTTCTCCGCTACTCGCGCACGATCGTTTCTCGTATCACATCCAAGTACTTGCACGTCGCCAATATCGCTGAGGCTTGCGTCTCGGTGTTACTCACTCCATAGATTCTAAAATATACTCTTAAAAACCAGAATATAGACATTATTACAATTTCAATATAAATTCCAAGTCAAAACAGCAGTTGCATTTTTAATTTAATATTGTTGGTTTTGAAAAATGTCTGACTGAAATATAACTAAAAATTTGAACCTTCTAAACTACAAATTGATTAAATCTGCATGCCGCTGAATTATCGATCCGATGATGTGTACATTCTTGGTCAAAGTGTTGTGGTTGTTCAAAAATATGTAATAAATATGTTATTAAATGTAAGCATATTTCGATAAAAAATAAATTTTTGTATTTTTTCTATGTTGATCAATAATCCTGGATAGATTATTCTCTTTCGTTCATAATGCTAAGGTCATCCCTTACGTCATCCAAACATATCATTCTAGGTTTCCCATCTTTCTATCGTATCGGTTTCCATTGTCACATTTTCTTTGTCGTTTTCCTTCCCGTTAGCCTGACTTTATAAATAGTACAATATCATGCTTATAGTTCAATCCATTGATTTCACCATTCTTCTGCTTTTGCAAGTGGCATCTTATTCTTGTACCCGACCATATATTTTTCTCAGTATCCTTCTCTTAAGCATTCTAAATGGTTTTGAATTACATGCTCTTAAAAAGCATCTATTTGTAATAAAAGTGAAAATCATGTGTTTGCCTTAATCTTTTATTAAATATCAGTTTAAAATTATATTTTTATATGTTTAATAGTTGCATCGTTTTCATAATATATTTGAAATCCAATAATACAATTTTTTTCTAATAAAATCTGTTTGGAAAAGTGTCAAATAATTTAAATATTTTATTTTTATTGTTGCGAGTATGACCTTATTTGGTTTTAAATTTTATTTAATCATATATTACCTAATTGCAATATGGCTTTAGTTTATTTTTAAATTCTCGAACTCAAATTGGCTGATTAATTATTGTCAAGTTCTGAGAATTCACTTGTCTAAAATTCAACATGTTTTTGGGAAACATATGTCAACCCAAAGCACTTCAGATTCCTTAAGAAAACGTATCCGCCTTTGTGTAGCAAGTAAAGAATGTCACTTTGAGTTTAATTTACGGCTATTCACGGAGGTCTCTAAAAACAGTACCCTCTAGTCGAATTGGGGTAATAGATACGTGCCCCTTTGCATATGATCGACCACTCTTCACAAAACGCTCGTCCTGTACGGAAGCAAGTGCCAAGCAGATCACCACAGCAGTGTATCTCACGCCAACCCCAGCCGGGCCGACCATAGACAAAAAAAAAGGTAAGTGAATCTCATATAGAATTGACAATAAGATATAAAATCTGCCAATTGTTATTTGAATTCATTTTATTTTACATATATTTGCTACAAATATTCGCTATTTTCGCTAATCTTATATACAATCTAATATTGCATTTTTTCGTTATAATTATTATTAAGACAATGTATAGCTTTGGAGTCGGTTCAGTTTAATTCATTAACCCTTTCTACCCAGTCTCACTCGCGATCATTTTCTCATCAGTCTAATAAAAAACCATTCACATCTAGTTTTGTCAGTGCCACCAATCGACCGAAGGTGACTTATCAAGGGGGTAAATGTGTCGTGTGTTCTGGTGTTCACCCTATATATAAATGTTCATTCTTTCTTGCTAAAACGGCGCAAGAACGTATTTCGTTGGCTAAACGCCATAATTTATGCTTGAACTGTTTGGGTGCACATCATTCCGCCGTAAACTGTGCTTCTTCGAGCACATGTAGGGTTTGCCAATCACGACATCACACTTTTCTTCATGTCTATCCAAGTTCCAACGAATCTTGTTTATTCAGTCAACCGCCTCCTCAAATACAATCTTCTAATGAGAACCACAACTCTACATTAGAGACGCCTCAAACCTCTACGTCTAGTTTTGCGCCGACGTCTCTAATAAACGCTAACCTTTCCACATAATCACGTTTAACATTCTCGTCGGTATTATTATCAACATGTTTGATACATATCAAAGATGTCTACGGTGATTTTCAGAAAATTCGTATCTTACTGGATACAGGCTCGATGGCTAATTTTATTTCAGACAGTTGTTTTCGGCGCTTAGGTCTTTCCCGTAATAATTTATCAATCCCAGTGGAAGGTCTAAACGGAATGTCGACGTGTACCACTCAGGGTACCACGTTCTGTCATATTAAACCATGTGATCGTGACGGCCCGATCTTCTCGTTGGACGCAATAATTGTGAAAAAGGTGTGTTCAAATCAACCTAAGGTATTCATCAATCCTCACGATCTTACTCATATTCGTGATCTGAAATTAGCAGATCACACATTCTATCAACCAGGTCCGATAGACATGCTGATAGGGGCTGAATTAGTTCCTCTCTTTTTAAAGTCGGGTCGAATTCTTGGCGAACCAAACCAACCTGTCGCTTTAGAAACCATTTTCGGTTATGTGCTACAAGGGCGAGTCTCTACGGCCCTTTCAAATTGTAATTTTACCTCTTTACATACGTCTATGGATACAAACATAGATAGTCTTTTACAAAAATTTTGGGAAGTCGAAAATATATCAAAACCTGCCATTTTGTCCCAGGACGATCAAGTTTGTGAGGATATTTACAAGGCATTTACTTTCCGAGAGTCAACAGGCAGATTTTCTGTTCCTCTACCGTTTCGACAACCCAATCCTGTCTTTTGCGATACTTATTCTCAAGCATATCGTCGTTTTTGCGTGTTAGAGAATCGTTTTAAGAAAATTCCGGATCTCAAAGAGAAATATGTTGAGTTTATGAATGACTATATTACTTCGAAACATATGGTCCCGGTTCCTGAATCTGATTTTAAATCACCTACCTCGTATTATTTTGCTCATCACGCAGTTTTCAAAAAACAAATTGTTAATTCATCTCTTGTTTCCAAAATTCGTGTTGTCTTCGACGCCAGTCTACGTGACGTTCGAGGTGTGTCTCTCAATGATACCCTATATACAGGTCCTAAACTTCAAAAGGACATCTCTTCGCTTTTACTCAATTTTCGATATTTTCGTTACTGCTTCACATGCGATATAAAGCAAATGTATCGACAAATTAACGTAAACAAAGAATTTTGGAATTATCAAAGAATTCTCTGGAGGTCGGATTCTTCTAAACCTCTTCAAGAGTACTTTTTACGTACTGTTACTTACGGTGTTTCTTCTTCACCTTATCTCGCATTAAAAACTTTACAAGAGTTAGCTGAGTCGGCAGAATCTCGTTTCCCTAACGCTTCACAAGCTTTAACGCGACATTTTTATATTGACGATGGTCTATTAGGAAGTGATTCTCTGTCATCTACCCGCTCTCTACAGTTAGAGCTCATTCAACTTTTAAAGCTTGGTGGTTTTGAACTAGGCAAATGGGCCAGCAACCATCCCAGTCTACTCCAAGATTTTGGTTCTGATATTCTGACATCTTGTTCGTTTGACAAAGAGGAACCTTCCGTTATTAAGGTGCTAGGCCTGAAATGGGACCCGTCGACTGACGTCTTTTCTTATTCTTACTGTCCCCTTGACAAAACTTGTACAAAGCGGGCTATTCTTTCGGAAATCAGTCGTATTTTTGATCCTCTTGGTTTCATCTCCCCGTGTCTTTTAAAGGCCAAACGTCTGCTGCAACAGTTGTGGCAATCCAATGTATCTTGGGATGATGAACCACCTGAACAAATACAACAGGTATGGCATCAGTT